ACACCTATGGGCACCCACTCTTTAACAAAGAAGCCAGAAATATAAGGTAGCATCTTCAACAAAAGGTGCTGGTCAAACTCGGTGGTTTCATACAGAGGAATGTAACTAGATCCATATTTATCATGTACACAAAATGTAACTACAAATGGATCAAAGATCTCAATATAAAATGAGAAACACTAAACCTAACAGAAGAGTAAATGGGAAATAGCCTTAAACTTGTTGGAACAATAAAAGACTTTCTGAACAGAACATCATTAGCACAGGCACTAAGATCAACAATTAATCAACAACATCACGGAACTGAAAAGCTTCTGTAAGGCAAAGGATACCATCGAGAGAGATAGAGAGAGAGAGAGAGAGAGAGAGAGAGAGAGAGAAAGAGAGAGAAACCTTGGAATACACAGCTCTAAATGGGATGTTTCTATCAACCACTGCTCCAGAGCCAGAGGGAATGGAGGCTACCAGGATAACAAATCTTCCTAAATCATCCAAGCAAGGAACATAAGAACTCACAGAGACTGAAGCAGCAAGCACAGGCCTATGAAGGTCCACATCATATCTTCTCTCTCTCTCTCTCTCTCTTTCTCTCTGTGTTATATATTATACCATTCAGTTTATATTTTTATGGTACTCCTGAGTACCTAAGTCAGTATGGGTTTCAGATTCTTGTGCCTTCTTTCAGGGCTCTTTTTTCCTTCTGTGGGTTTGCTTTGTCCTACTTGATGTGACAGTTTTTGTTTTATCTTATGTTTTAATTTGGTAAACTCAAAATAATTTCCCACCGCCCCTCCCCCCCAAGGGCCATAGCTTATACATCTTTCAGAGAAACTTATATAATCATTTGACATCCATTGTCTATGAACGATGATACTTATAAAAAATCAAAATAAGTAAGGGTAATAAGAGAGAACAAAGGCAGGGTATACAGTATACAGTAAACTTTATTCTAGGAAGTCAACAACTACTAAAATATTTCTTTATCTTTTCCTATTTTCTATGTTACTGAGTTTGAAATTGTCAGTGAGCTTTATCATGTAGAAAAATATATGGAAAAGCCAAAGTCTGCCTTGAAATACACAGTGAAATACTAAAGTTCAAATTGTTTTTTGAAGATTAAGCAACAGAATTTGTGGAGAAATTTAATTACTAGTCAATAACTTTGTAAGAATATGTGATTTTAAAAATCAAAATTGAAAATGAAATAATAGGATAAACGTGAAAATATGATTACATACACTGTTGGAAATAAAATAAGCAGTATTGGAGTGTCTGGGTCATTTCCACACAATATACCCTACAGACTAAGCAATTAATCAAATGATAGCGGTGTTTCATTCAGACATTATCACTTATTTTTTTTTAATTTTATTTTTTTCTTATCAGTTACATTTTATTAACTCTGTATCCCAGCCGTGTCCCGATCCCTCATTCCCTCCCAGTCCCTCCCTCCCTCCCTCATCTCCACCGTGCCCCTTGCCAAGTCCACTGATAGGGGGACCTCCTCCCCATTCATCTGATCCTGTTTTATCAGGTATCTTCAGGACTGGCTGCAAAGCTCTCCTCTGTGGCCTAACAGGACTGCTCCTCCCTTGAGGGGTGGGGAGGCCAAAGAGCCAGTCATTGAGTTCCTGTTAGAAATAGTCCTTGTTCCCCTCACTATGGGAAACCAATTGGTTACTGAGCTACCACAGGCTACATCTGAGTAGAGGTTCTAGGTTACATTCATACATGGTCCTTGGTTGCATGTCAGTCTAGAACAAAAAGTTCCACAGTTGTTACCAACTGTGATAGACGTTTAAGATTAATTTTCTGGAGAAGTAATTTTGGTTGAAAATGATAAGTTATGGAAAGTCTAATATCTTAATAATTGATTCTGAAGAAACAGAGACATGAATTGTATTATAAAGTTTTGAGAAAATAGGATTTCTCTGATACTATACATTCTTATTAGAACTTTTAAATTTTTTCCAGTTTGCAATTTTACTGCTATTTGTGAAAGAAATTTCATTAACATTAATGACACATGTACCTCAATCAACCTTGAACAATCAGATACATTTAAAAACTTATCCAAATCACCCATTGAATGTTCAGAAATATTAGATTCTGATAGTATAATTAAAAATATGAAAATGTTCAACATCAAAACCAGAAAAATGAAATATTTGCTAGTCCTCATTGTGGGCAACCAATATGTAGATAGTTTTATTCTCATCAGAAAAATAAATTCATGAAAAATTTAAATATTGTCTGTTGCTGTTTTTCTTTTATAGCTTGTGCAATAGCATTTACTTGATTTTGTATTTTGTTTTCATATTGATATTTTATTATAAATATGTATGTTATATAAGTATAAAAACATAATAAAAACTTTTATTTATAACCATTGTTATGTTTCATTAATTCATTTAATATATTTTCATTTATACTCATTAAAAAAGAATATACTTCAAGTATCAAATATGTTTAGTACACTATTAATGCTTAGTATATAGTTTACACTTAAGAAATATTTGTTATTACTCAGTGATAAAAGACAAGGACATCATGAAATTTGCAGGTAAATGGAGGGAACTGGAAAAGATCATCCTGAGTGAGCTATCCCAGAAGCAGAAAGACACACAGGGTATATACTCACTCATAAGTGGATACTAGATATATAATATAGGATAAACATACTAAAATCAGTACACCTAAAGAAACTAATCAGGAAGGAGGACTCTGGCTAAGATGCTCAAACCCCATTCAGAAAAGCAAAGAGAATGGACACTGGAGGAGGGAGAAAACAGGGAACATGACAGGAACCTACCACAGAGGGCCTCTGAAAGGCTCTACCCTGCAGGGTAAAGAGGCAGATGCTGAGACTCATAGCCAAACTTCGGGTAGAGTACAGGGAATATTTTTTTTTATTTTAATTTTTGTTAATTACAATTTATTCACTTTGTATCCCCCCATAAACTCATCCCTCCTCCACTCTTAATCCCACCTTTCCTCCCCCTCCTCCATGCATGCCCTTCCCCAAGTCCGCTGATAAGGGAGGTCTTCCTCTCCTTCCTTCTGATCCTAGTCTATCAGATCTCATCAGGAGTGGCTGCATTGCCATCTTCTGTGGCCTGGTAAGGCTGCATCCCCTCAGGGGGAAGTGATCAAAGAGCAGGCCAATCAGTTCATGTCAGAGGCAGTCCCTGTTCCCATTACTGAGTACAGGGAATCTTATGAAAGAAGTGAGAGATAGTAAGACCTGGAGAGGACAGGAGCTCCCCAAGGACAACAACAGATCCAAAAATTCTGGGCACAGGGGTCTTTTCTGAAACTGATACTCTAGCCAAGGACCACTCATGGAGTTAGCTTGGAACCCCGCCCAGAGGTAGCCCATGGCAGTTCAGTGTCCAAGTGGCCTCCATAGTAATGGGGATAGGGACTGTCTCTGACATGAACTGATTGGCCTGTTCTTTGATCACCTCTCCCTGAGGGGGAGCAGCCTTACCAGGCCACAGAAGAATTTAGCCACTTAAGAGCTGATTGACTAGGATCAGAGGGAAGAGGAGGAGGACTTCTCTTTTCAGTGGACTGGGAGAGCGACATGGGTGGGAAGAGGGACAGTGGGATTGGGAGGGGAGGACTGAGAGAGGTACAGAGGGGGATACAAAGTGAGTAAATGTAAATAATAAAAATAAAAATAATTAAATAAAAAAATAGAAAAGTAAAACAAAACAAAACAAAAAAAAAAAACCCGAACAAACAGAAAAAGAAATATTTGTTGAATAATGAGTGAATGCTGTTAACTAATATTGAGAAGTTTACAGGAATATTATGAACACTATTTTTCTCAAAGTTATTCACAGAGACCTCAGGAAGCCTGTGCTCTTATAGAGAAAAATATACCTCCTCACAATATATTCTCGTGAGAACATTATAATAATCATTTTATTTTAGATCAAGTCACACCATTGCTAAAACCCCTCCAATTATTTCCATTTTTCTTTTTAAATTAATTTTTCCATATAATATATTCTGATCACTGTTTCTCCTTCCTCATCTCCTCCCAGATCCTCCCCATCCTTCTACACCGCACCTTTGTTGTCTCTCTCTATAGAAAACAGACAAATAAAAAAAGAATAAAACAAAACAAACAAAAAAAATCCAAATTAGTTATAGTGACACACAAAGCCTATTTTGCAGTGTTTTTTAATTGTTGTGGAAACTGCTACTCTAATCCTTTTTCTCATACTATTTTTGCACGAAATACTTGTCTACATTCCTTATGATTTTTTTCTCAAATCACTTTATCAGCGCCTTCAATCTATATGAACTAGTAAACTCCATTCCATCTCGACAGATACCTTCTAGTTTTTTTTTTTGTTTGTTTTTGTTTTTAACTTTTAATACATCTTAGTGTGTGTTTTTAGTATGTGTGTCAAATTCACGTCACCAGGCTTGGCAGTATGCACCTTTTACACACTGAACCATCTTGTCAGTGTTTTGTTTTCTTGAATAGTGTTTAGGCCTTTCTAATATTTATTTGTCACTTTTTCCCAGTGCTTTATTATATGCCACCAGATTTTGTAGTGTACTCTGAAAAACTGGCTGACAGAATTGGTGCTCAGTGACAGTTTCAGAGTAGATGTAATTGCCTCAAGGATGGCAGAGGTGACAAGCTCTCGTGACTGATTCTATGGCTGTTTTCTAAGGCAATTGATCTTGAGTTTTAGATTCTTATCTAGGCAAATCACACGAACAAACACAAAAGTTATTCACCCAAGAAAACAACTTCTAATTGGAGTGTGGAGATTCTTCTGAGAGGTTATATCTGTCGAGGGCTGGAGCGTTGATCACAAGTATAAGCTCCTTTCTCTGAAGAACTAACTGCTAACTAGTAAGTTAATTTCGGCAGCTGACAAAGCAGCTGCAGGAGGCAGGGCAAGGGCTGGAGTCAGCTGTCTACCAGCTTAAAGGGGAGGGGCTGTGGTTGCGCAAGTCAAATTGAACTGCTTTGTCCCTCTGTGCTCTCCGTCCGAAAACTTGAGCCGAGAGAGTCCTAGGTATGGCGGCCTTTAGGGTAAGTGAAAAGAAACTTAGTTTTCCACGCCTTACTTCCTTTGAGCCCACAACATTCCAGTAGTTGTGGAAGGGACCATCCACCCTAACTCATGGATCGAGCAAGTGGCGGTCCGGAATCGGAGTGTTTAATATTTGCAGCCTAAACACACCTATGAAGCCTCCTTCTCTGGAATTAACTGTTAATACCACGGGGTCCCTTAGTCGGGTAATCCGCTGCGCTATGAAAAGGCCCGGGCAACTAGCCCCTCTGTCAAACAAAACAAAAGATAACAAAACAAAAAACACTTCGGTATTTCTTTTAGTGTGCAGGACGGAGCTCCATGACCCGAACATAGGACTTCCTTCAAAAATTATCTGGGGCAAAACTGATAAGTCGAGACGTCCCAGAGTCTGTATTGTTTTTGGGATTATATAGAGTGTTGTTATTCCCAGTCCAATAGCCAGTTTCTTTGGAGTTTAATGAGAAATGGTGCTTTTGTGGTAGAGAAAGCAAGCCCGATGACTCAGGTTTCAACGTCAGTTTACAAATACTTAATGCAGTTTTTTTTTTTTTTTTTTTTTTTTTTTTTTTTTTTTTGCTGTATAATGAGTGTTAGGCTTGAAAGATAAAAGACTGTGAGTAATTCAATCAGCAGATGTTGTTTTTAAGGTGGCTTAGTGTTCTTTATTTTCCATTCTTACTGCATTTTGCACCTTGGGACCTTATACTTACTTTTGAACTATTGACCACTCTCCTAACTGTACTCTAATCCCTCTGTTCCTCTGATGGAATCCATTTTCTCCTGTGCTGCCGTAGTACTTACACCAAAATGAGTCTGCCCCACTACATTAAAGCCGTTATAGGCACTCCATTATCAGCTCTCAGGGGTCAGGTTATATTTCTAGATAACAACACTTCACCTAGCCTCTGCTCTCCATCTTCCTTTCCTGTCACCTAAGAATCCTCTGCTCTGTGCTCAGCTTCTTTATCTTTCCATGCCCCCTTTACCCGCTCTTTCGGCAATTCCTAAAGTGCTCTTTCCCATTCTTATTTAATTTCTAGCAGGCATGGCTAACCAACTTTTTGTTAATTCGACTCCTTGACCATAGTTGTCTTCTACAAAGTTCATCCTAGAGTTACAATGTTTAAATAGGTTTAGGATTTTGGATTGAATAGGATGTGGTCTGTAGTCCACAGGTAGCACAGGAGTGCTCCCTTTGCTAAACACAATGCCATGACAACTATAATGATCCATATGAGATAGTTATTGACAACTGTATTGATAAGTTAATTAAAAGTTTTAAGTTGTTTTCTGATAGCCAAACCAAGAATGGGCATGTAAATCTGAAGAGTTTCTTGGTGCCTATGTAGAGAGATACAGAGTTTTAGAGGCAAAACCCACAAAGATGTATCAGAGTTAGATGAGTGTCAGAGTAACCTTGAAACATTTATTCCTGGCAGAGTACAGTAGTTATTTTAGATATAACTTGCCAGTTATTTTGGTTAATATATCTGGACCATGGACAAGGCCATGGAAGTTTCACAAGTGCTTAACATGATTATTGGAGAAGGGATAAAGGACTGAGAACTAAGAACAGAAAATGGGGTCAGAACAGGGGGTGTTACCTTAGTCATTTCATTCCCCAATTTTTAAAAGTTATTGTTAATTTTTTTTTATATTGGCTGTGGGGTAAACACTGGTTCCCGAGGATCCATTTTTTTTTTCTCTGATGAACTTTAAAAGGTAATTTGTTATGTAAGGACTTAGACCAAGTCTTATAAAAAGAGGGAGTAAGGGACCAGGGCAGTGAAAAATGTTGTGTGAGTAATGAATTTTAATCATTTTATGGTGCCAGAAATTATTTCATTTATATTTTTATACAGTTATTTTTTTTGTATTTTATTTTTTTCTTATCAGTTACATTTTATTAACTATGTACCCCAGCCATGTCCCGTTCCCTCATTCCCTCCCAGTCCCTCCCGCCCTCCCTCCTCTCCACCGTGCCCCTTGCCAAGTCCACTGATAGGGGGGACCTCCTCCCCATTCATCTGATCCTGTTTTATCAGGTATCCTCAGGACTGGCTGCAAAGCTCTCCTCTGTGGCCTAACAGGACTGCTCCTCCCTTGGGGGGTGGGGAGGCCAAAGAGCCAGCCATTGTATACAGTTATTTTTAACTTTTCTAAAGTTTTCTTTTTTAATTGATAACTTTTGATGTGTTAGCATAGAAGCAACAAGTCTAATCCACACAGTCTTCCCTGGGGACATGAAAATAAGTTTAAGCCTTGTCAGTTTTGGAGAACTGTTTCTGTCAGAGACTCTATGGGTGGTGGTGGTGGTGGAGTATATCAAAGGAGAACTGAAGGTGTATAAAATCTGTTTATTTGATAAAGTATCTTTTTTTTTTTCACCTGATTTGAGCTGCAGTGTTCAAGGCAGTAGTCTCTTATCACCATTTCTGTCATTGGCACAAGGAGTGGGTAGCCCTTCTGTAACTGGTGGGTGTATTTTTCTGGTAGTGCTCATGGCCAAGGAGAGGAATGGAGACAGTGGCTGCTCAAGTGCTATTTAGCAAAGTGGAACTCATACATTGTCTAGGTGATTTCTCCAAATAATTGTTTAGATTGCATAAGGAAATTGCCCTAGTGTTAAGGTGTATTTCAGATCCCCAAAACTGGGCTGCCTAGTGTCACTTCAGGTTTTGGTCCCAGGTCAGTTCTCAGAGCACTCCCAACCCAGCATCTTAGAATTTGCTTATTGGCCACTGAAAGGCATCTTACTATAAACTGCTGCTTTCTGTATGAACTGGTCTCCATGGTAGTTTCATCAGCTGTTTGGAGATTAAATCTTTTGTGGTGTTAGTGCCAAATCCAGGCTACAAATACCTCGGTAGTCGCTCCTGTGTGTTTGTCTCCACCAGTGCCAATAGGGTCAGCACCAATAGCAGTCAGACAAGATAGCCATAGCCAAGGTTGGTACCCACCACTGTCCCATGTCCAGGTCACCAGAGATCATGTGTCATTGTCAGTTGAGGCTCAGCCACTAGCCAAAAGAGGTCTGCTTTGGTTGTTGCCACAGCCCTAGTGGTCTGTGGTTGTCATTGGGGGAGCATGGTGGTCTGTGGTGGTCCTTGGTAGAGTGTGGTAGTTTGCTGCCCCACAGCAGTAATCTGTGTTACTCCATGGTATGCCCTGGTAGCTTTTCCATCACTTCCTCTTTCTCTTCTGTGTTCTCTTGCCCCCCTTCTCTTCTTTTTAATAACCCCCTGAAGTAAGGGCTATTCAAATAAGCATGGGTATAGGTGTGGAGTCATCCATTGGAGTGTGCTCTCCATACTTGGATTTAGACCACTGAGGAAAACTGCCTCTTTCCTTCCCTACAGTCATAAATTGTTCATGGCTCTTCATTAGGATTGATGAGGCCGCCTCTGATCCTTGCTGAAATTTTGACTCTCTTGATCTTAGGTAGACATTCAGAATTTTTGAATTCTTGAGTACTACAACATGCATCCAGAAGATGTTTCCTAGTGATTGTCTTAACTTCTGCTTCTTAAAATCCCACCTTTGTCTTTCATGGTGTTTTTGAGTGTTAGCAGACAGTGGGTGTGATATAGATATCCCATTCACAGCTGAGGACTTCATAGATGCTTGTGGGTTTTTTTTAATATTTCTAGTTTTTTCATATTTCTAGTTTTCATATTTCATATTTCATATTTTCATCTATTTCTAGTTTTTTGAGGAACATCACACCAATTTTCAAAAAGGCCAAAGTAGTTTACAACAGTAGTGTATAAGGCTCATTTACCCTCTCAACCGTATCAGCATTTACTGTCATTCTTGGATCATGGCCATTCTTACTGGAGTGATATGGTATCATGGTGTGGTTTAAATCTGCTTTTCCCTGATGGCAAAGGGTGCTCAACACTTAAGAGTGCTTTCTGGCTGTCTGTATTTCTTTTGAGAACTCTCTACTCAGTTCCACAGGCCATATTTTAAATGGCTTAAATGTGGTTGCTTTTACACTTCATCCTCCCAGAAGTGTTTCAGCCCACAGTTTATATGTACATTGGCCTGGTAGGTTGAATACACATGGCAAAAGTCACAGCAAACACCCTGACTCCAGCTGCCTAGATTTTGTCTGGAAAACACACGCAGTATGAAAACTAGCATAGTATGTTCCTTACAACCCAAGCATATTCCCATAGTTTCTCCACAGCCTTTTATTTTTAATTTCAACCCTTTGAAGTTGACTATTTGAAATGCTGATGAGCAAGGACCAAATTGTACAACTATATTTTTAATGTTTATTATTGTTTTTGGGTTATTGTTGTTAGCAATTTTTTTTTCCTAAGAGTTTTAGAAGAAAATAATAAATGATACTATGGCTGAAAGACTATATTCTTAGTAGATTTAATGATATTTTGTTCTTTTACAGATGATTCACTTACTATTTTCAGAAGAAAATAAGCACCCTGATATGTACAGGTCCTCTGTTAGTGAATCACTGGTGATTACTCTAAAACAGGGCACTCTTGTCTAAGATTTTTATGTTGCTGCCAAGAAATAGCTCCCAGGCTTTGTCTCTGAGATGAAGCATTTGTATCCTTTTTTTTTTCTTCTTTTCAGTTTCAGCTAGAGAAAATAGTAGTATACCTGTTAATGTAGAAGATGAGTTTAGTGGTGCTTGTCATTATCGCAGAGTTTATTATCCTTGGAAAACAATCTAGCACATATACGGGTAAAATCCAGAATTCCAAAAAGGGAAGTAGATGCGCCTTCATGGATAGGAAAGAGAGGCTGAGACTCTTCTTTATGATCCAAAAGAGTATACATAGATCAATGAAAATTTTATGGTCATTAACTCAGTCTACTGAAGAAGTTTCTCACAAAGACGTTATTTTAAAAAGAAAGGTTTTAATGGGAATGATGCCATATTGGCATTGTTTCGTTTTACTGCAGGTCATAAATATACTGTTTGGGGTTGCTTAGTAATATGCTTTTGAAAGGATTTTAGCTATAA